TGAAAATTTTCAGCATTACAAAGGAATGATTCACATACTAGTAATGAACCCAATGCGCATGCCCTCATCATTGAGATGATTTTTATTTGACCTACTCACCATTTATTGACACATGACAGCTAGACAGCAGTCAATAACATTCCACTGGGGCAGCCAAAAGTCCCTGAGGGTTGTATCAACTCATTAGCACTTACTGTACTAATCCAGTAAAACATGAACAACCTCTTAACCTTTTGAAAAAAGAAATGAAGTTTGTATGTTGTGCAGAAAGTTTAAATGATTTTAAAAAATCAGGATGAAGTCATTTTAGGTCATTCTTCTTCAGCTGTTTAAAAGGAAATGTAACTACAGTGCAGTATAACCAATTGGCCATATCCAAAACACACTTTTGCATTTAGACATCTGTTCACTTTCAGTGTTAGTGAATATACAGTAAAATGTGTTCAAAAACCCTTCCATGGTAGACAAAGCTGACCTGAATATCATAAGAGACTTAGAGCACCTTCCCTAGCCAGAACAATCCCCAGATCTCATTGTTACTGAAAGCTGGTGCCACATGCAGAGTGCACAGGTCCATCGCACACACCATTGCCCTTATCACAATGTCAGCTAAAGGTAATCCTGCTAGAAGAATAGAATTGTGTTGCAAATATTTCATACCCTGTGAAATAACAGTCAAAGCTAATTTTTCAAACTATTTGTGTGGAACTCCTAATATTTAGGTCTGTGACTGAAAACACTCTCTGAGCAGGCAGGTAAATACTGGTCATTTTTAAGATCCTTATGTTTTGCATAAGGATCAACTGCAAATTTACTTTACCAAGTTTTTTTAAATTTTTTGATGAGAATACCCACTGGCCCACTTATAATCAGTCACAACTATGGAGAGGTGACAGTCAATCACAGATACTATCATTTGACAATACTATCACACAGTGGATGTGCTTATACAGTAAGTGACCAAGTGGCTCAGGCTTGTTTGTTTTGGCAAGAGAACTACAGTGAAAGCTGTCTGTGTTTCCGTGTGCTAAGAAAGGAAAGACAGTTTAGTCAACGAGAACAAGGCTTTCTTTCTATGAGTAGGATAAACTTTCTATTAATAGCCCATTTATCCCCACGAACTTTTAGAAGGCACATCGCACTGCATTAATGACAATTCAATCAAGAAACAATTCCATTAACTATTGCACTGACCTCCATCAAATGTAAAGTGAGAACAGGTACTCCTGAAGGCTTAATTGCACTGTTTGCGTAAGAATTTGACTCAGAAAGGTATTATACAGATACATTATAAAAGAAATTAAAGAAGAGTCACAAATGGTAGATGATATGATGATCTTTTGAATGGGCTAGGTTGTTAATGTTAGCGTGTAACATTAATAAACAGATCCAGAAACCATTTTCTTCCCTAAAGGGATTGAATCTACTTCCCTCCCTTAAAACAATTGTGGGGTACCCTTAGCTTTCCTAGGTCTAACAGCCCAGGAGCACCACCTAGCAGCTCAGCAGCAATTGGAGCCCATCCACCCATTTACTATCCTGTCCTGCACTGCACTGTCGCGGGAGTTCAAGCCAATCTCAGCAAGTAACAGCCAAGCAAGGGCAGGGCACACCATAGATGGGATGAGGTAAGTATACATAATACATAGAAAACAGACCAATACACAATGAAAACAGCATTTTAAATTGTGAAAACAGAAATAGAAAACATTCATGGAGCATAGCTGCAAGGTGGTAATGAGGATATATTTTTTCTCCCCAAGGACAAGATGCCTGTCCATTGCAGGCCACAGAGAGAAAGCAACAATTAAAAATAACCATTCAAACCTGGAGCTCCCAGAGAACAATTATGTGAATATGGGAAGAACGTGCAAACTACACAGATGCTCTGGACCAGAATTAAACCTTACAGTCTTGAAACGTGAGGCAGAATGGCTGACCGATATTGACCACTAGGCCTATTAAAAATACTGCACTTTGTCAGAGCAAAATATCTTGTGTAGAAACAAATCATTAAAAGAGTTCAGTAGAACTGCAAACCGTTTTTATGGATATTTGCCTTTTCTTGTAACATTAGCTTAACACAAATAAACTGCTGACCCCAGACTAAGTCATCTGAAACTACCAAATCCACCCTTGCAAATATGCACACAAGACACTCTGAACTCTGAAATACAGGTCAGTTAATGGAATCAGAAGAGAGCCAAGAATTAGTCAAAAACGGGCTGTGAAACTCCTATCACACTGCAAAATAAATACTGTTGACTGAAGATGCTTTCCGTTCACCTTTCAAAGTGAACCCCAACTGACAGCAAACGGATATCAAAAACTTAATAAAAATGCTGATTTTGAACTTTGTCAATAACAAAAGCCCAACCATCATCCAATACAAATGGAGAACCTTTAATCGGGGGATATACTTTTGTGAATAACATTGTAAGATGTTTCTCTGTACTATTACTTGCAAACACACCACTCTGCAGCAAAACTACAATTAACACAGAACAAACTCCCTGTGACAGAAGCTAGACTTCTTCCTTTCAGTCTGTCAAACAAACCTGTAAGTACATGAAAAATCCGGAAAGGAAACAGCACTACAGGGAATTGCAGAAGTTACAAGAGAGCAATGAAAAAATGTTTCAAAATCCTCAGGTCCCGCTTGGCCATGTATATTTTTCTGCTCACCTGCCTTCAAGATGTGCCATCTACATCGAAGGGGCTGACACTACCCCCTCCTCCCCAGGTCGAGAGGCCAGTGCTCCCGGGAGGTTGTATGAGAAGGGTAATGCGTCATAGCTGATGTCCCTCCCCCTTACAGTCCGCAACAAGCCAGAGAACATTTCTTCAGAAAGTTTTTGCTTCCCCTACTTTGAACAAAACAGACCTCATATATGAAACCCACATCCTAGGCACATCCTAGACAGAGCTACAGGAGCTCGTGTCCCTGCATCAAAACCTTTCACAAACACTTCATTTACATCTGAAATGAGGGTTGTTTCATTAAGAATCCACAACAAGACTTCAGCACTGAAGCCTGCCAATAAACGATAGAGATGGCTTGCAGCTTGATTCAGGATTGTGCTTAACTAATGCAACATTGCAGAAAAAAATGAGCAAACTTTTTCTATTACCTCACATCTAGTTATTTCAGAAATTTCTGAGTCTGAGATATGATACTACATTTTAGATTTTTCCTCACAATTACTCTTTGCACAACATGACTGGAGAAATTTCTTATAGCTCATCTCAGCAAAGATGCTGCTGCCTATGCAGAGAAGCTAACTTTCTAAAACAGCATATAATGATTTTTAACAGGAGCTGAAAGCAGTTCATACATTCCATTATAAACTTCAAGGGAGGCAGTTTTAGCTCACACGCTAAACCAAGCAAATGTACAAATTTCAATTTGGAGAAGTATTGCATTTTTTTTAGGAGTACCATCTCTTGCACAGCTCTACAGTTAACTTTTTGTATAACAGATACATCAATTTTCTAATCACTTTATCAAATACAATGTGGCAGGGGGGCCAGAACTGATCCCAGCAAGTAACAGCTTACACCCTGGACAGGACACCAGTCCATTGCAGGGTAGGTAGAGACGACACACACTTACAGCACCACCAATTTTACAGAAGTTAATTAACCTAACCTAGTCTTTGGACTGGTGTGAGGAAACTGGACCACTAGGATGGAAACCACATGAACATGGGGAAACGATACAACAAAATTCTACATGCCAGGAACTGAACCCTGTGCAACAGCACTCCAAGGCAGCAACACGGTCCACTGTGAAGTCACTCCTCCCTTATAATTCGAGACTGCACGCATAAAGAACGCAGCAAGTTATATATGTACAAGATAGGCAACATAATAGCTATATATATCCAATATGGATGAAGCTTTCCTAAATCAGTCTATGCGTGTCAATGATCAGAAGTTCTACATCTTGGCTTTACAGCATCATGAAAGATATAAACGAAGTCAGAAACAGGTACACATCTCTTTTCCATACATCTTGTTCTGGTGTTGTTACTCATGGCTGTGTCCCATCACCGAGAATATGATCACCATTGTACTAAGAAGTGCAGTGAAGTTAACAGTGACACATGAAACAGTTTGTAAAAACAAAACCCACGAGGCAACGCAGGTTGCAGCATACCCAGACATTGTGTACTCACACTGGATGGTTTTGGAGGCACTGTGTATGGGGAAATACTTTAAAAAATGTTTAATGTGTTATCTTAATGTATTTCCTTAATATTGCAAATAATTCCCAGCATTTATAGAACTTTACAGCCCAAAGGATCCCAAAGCTCTCCTCACGTATGACCTGGAGGATGACTTATAGCAGACGTTTTAACAGTCAAGCAGGTGAACTTCATCGGGTAAATGAAGACAGAACATTGGTAGAGCCGATAATGCAAGCCCACGACACCAGGGTCAGCTCCCCATTAGGCTTACATCTAGTGCCGCAGGATTTTTAACGATCAAGTACTCTGAAACATGGCTTAACTTCCTATTGAAATGACAGTTTCTACAGTGGAGTGTCCAGTTACCATACTGGGATACTGATCTGGAAATTCTGGTCCAGAGAGAAGTAGTCAATCAACACCACGTCAAACAGCAACCTAGTTTTTCTTACTAAACCAAGCTGACATTTTGCATGTGCAGTTAAAAACAAATTCAATGCTTTTCCTTATAAAAAGTCATGAGAAAGATTTGCTTGGTTGCAATGCATATAAAACGTGAAATAGAACATTAACTGAACAGAAATGTCCCCTATGCCATACAGTTTCTTTTTCAAAGGGTGGTTTAGCAAAATCCACTAATTTACATTTATGCTACCTACAAGACATCTATCTTCTGTAACCACTTTGCTCCTACAAAGCCAGGACAGATTACCTTTGGTATAATGAGTTTGACCAAAAAGGCAAAATGTATAGAGGTAACAATACCAGAACATATCTTTTTAGCATACATAAAGTAAAACCAACACTACAATTTTTTAACAATATTTAATGGTTTATATGCAATTTTACTCTAAGGCCCTCCCTCCTCCTCATACAACATACTGAAATTCAAGCCCCTCATGGATAAAAAACAGGGATATTAAGAAAAACACATAACCTAAAAATAATAAAAACAAATTAATTCCAGTTTTCATTTCTGTTAAAATGTTAAAAACAACTAAAAAACAACATACAAGTATAACCTGCTAAAATGCAATGACCCTCTCTTCCCTCCTTTGCCTTTTTTAGTCTTGAGTCCACAAACTCTTAAAATTAAAGTGGAACTACCACCAAGTAGTATCAGACTAGGGTTAGGGAAGAGAAAACTGAGCATCCCTCTTATCAAGCTCAGACAGATAAGGATTATTATAGGAGAAAGTGAAAAACCAGCCTGTGATCACCATAAAGTTATGATGTGGCTACAATATGACGAGGGCATGGTTTAGAAAAAGCTCAACTAACTTACATCCTGTCGGGGCCTTTGCTGCTTTCTGAGCACTTACACACTCTCACAGAACAAAAGCTTTGAAATGTCATCCAAGTACAGTTATCAGCTCTACAAGTGCTGTTTGGGTAGGGCCTTAGTTGTTGACAGTTCTGACTTATTTAAAAAAATCCTCTAAATTCGGTTTGTAGCTCTGTATTTCATGTGTTTCTGTTTCACCCCAGTGCTTCGACATCTATCGATTTATCTTTCCTGTGCTTCTCACAGCAAGGCAGTCATGCTGCTTTCAGCACGGTATCCCACGGAAAAGGCTCTCGGAAAGTAACACTGGGCCAGAAATTCTGCCTCCCGTTCTCACGGTCCTGGCCTTCTCTGTTCTTCCATTTCTTTCTCCGTTTTAAATCTCAAATTTGTACTAGGGACTTCTTCAGGTGTGCAGCTGCAGGTGCCAGCCAATCAGTTTGAGGCACTGCTATTGGAGGAACTTGACGTGGATGGGATGGCGCTCCCTGGGGTGCCAGTAGTGGCCACAGACTTGCGGATATGAGGCATCAAGTAAGGATCACTCGCCAGCTGTAAGACATCTATCCTGTCCTCTTTTCTATATGCTAGACAGCGGCGGATGAATGCCTGTGCATTGAAAACAAAGGTTCCAGTCAGTAAAGCATGCATCAACTTCAGCTACAAGATCAGCTTCGGTTCTCATAACAAAAAGCCTTAAAATGAAGCCACTTATTTACTTTGTCTGAGCATTTCTTAAAAATCAAGAGGAAATCTAAACAAAATATTTTGCACAAATAGTTCAAAAGGGTTAACTCAAACATTCTTAAATCCACAAAGACATACAGGCACATTAACCTCCCCTATACTGTCACATTATGATTGTCTCTTGAAAAAGAGAATTGTACAATATGTCTGGATTAGCTTTAACGATCATGTTTAGTATGTACACTAATCAATCTTTAGAATTCATTCACATAACACACTCTGCATCATCATGATATAAAACCTAAAATAAAATATGGGTTGAACAGGTAAAAATAAAATCCAATGATCAATGTATGTTCAAGTTCAAAAAGCAAATATATAGTCAAATCAAGGGTTAAATGTTTTCTTAAAAATTAAACCAACATCTAACTTTCTAAATTCTGGGACAAATTGGGTGAGGCTAAAAGTACCGGGGTTTTTTTTATTGGCAAATGCTTCATAGCAGCATTTTGTACAGATGTACCTGCCACAATGCTACCACCTACTGGTTAAATGCAGATGCAAAATATGCATGAAGATAATGTATCACAAAGAAGTGTAGTTATTCTCCTACATATTTTTAAGTGGGGGAATTAACCTGTATTTATTCTTTTATAGCAAACATGCTGACAACTCCCCACTTGAGGATAAAGATGAGAGACTTATGGCCAGATAACGAGGAGAAACAGATCCTTTTTTTTACTGTGAGACAATCCGATCTGCATGAAGAAGAGAGCAGCCATATGCCTGCCTCACCCACAAGATTACCTTTGCTTCTGGGGAGATTACTGGTTTAGGTGGAAACTGTACTTCTGTGGCCTTCAGAATGGTGTTCTCCTGAAGAATGTCTTGTTGTGACTGGTTGTGACCAAAAGGCTGTTGAAGACAAACTGAATTAGGAACATCGCATTTTGTATATATCCTATTACAGTGGCAAAGTCCTGTGGTAGTTAATGCTGATTCCTAGGAGCTGTTGGATCAGAGCAGACTCGCAGTCTAGCTTAATCGGCATCGCTAAAATGGTCCCTATATGTACATATGCATGAATATGTATATGTGACGTACTGGAGTCCTGTCCAGGGACTACACCCGTCCTGTATCCTGTGTTACTTTTTCAATCACACAACCCTTTTTAGCTCAGAACATTTGGAATTCCTGCAGAGATACTTCTTTGAAATATCACAAACTAAAGACATTAACAGAGAAAGTGTGTAAATTACATTTCAAACAACAAACTGGTATCACAAAACATAAAGCAGATATAAATGACAAAAGATGCCTCCTATGGGAGGAAGCTGCAGTCAAAAGCTCCAGATGAACAGCCTACTGGGAGCTCTTACCTTCCTCCCATACAGACACTGGTAGAAGATGACACCCACTGACCAAACATCCACCTTGTTGGAGATCTTTGGAGGCTCTTTCCCCACCACAAAACACTCAGGGGGAAGATACCTGGATAGAAGACAGTAAAGACAACTATACCCAACGTCTGGTGCTTACAGAGGTTTAACTTTATGCACATCAGTAATGGCTCAGGTGACTGTCCATTTTAAAAGAAGATGTGGCAGAGTATTTTTCATTGAATTTAAACAATGCTCCATTTTTTACAAAAATTTTGGATCTGAAAAGCCTGACATTATGGTATTTCTAATCATCATTACAAGTTTCTCTAGTAAAAAAAAAATACCAGTAGGTTCCAGCGCCTTGTGATGTCAGTTCCATGCCATCCACTGAGTTATAGCTGTCATCATCCATTATCTTGGACAAACCAAAATCTGTGATTTTAATCTCCCCACATGCCGTCCCGTTGACAAGGAGAATATTACCTGTCCAAATGAAAAATCTATGATTACTCACGTCAACACATGACACATGACACATGACACAATCCACTGCACTTCAAAGCTAGACCAAATTCAGAAGAAGACCTCTTCTAAAGAAGAAAAAGGTGGCATGCTTATATGATGCTACACATACCTGGTTTGAGGTCATAGTGAATGATGGGGGGCTTGATCTCATTGAGGTACTTTAGTGCGTTAACAATTTGCATGATGATGGAACGAGCCTCCTTCTCGGTCATTAGCTTGTGCTGTTTCAAGTAGAAATCCAAGTCGTTCCCCTCACAGTACTCCAAAACTGTACAAAACCTGCCAATGTAGAACCATAAGATTGCAACCATGTTTCTGAAATTTGTCACAAGTTTTTAAACAGGGGCAACAGGTATGACAGGTCGACTGTATGGTCTAAATATTTGGAACCTGGGTTTCACTGAACAGGGAATTTAGAAAGTAGACCTCAATAAAAAACCACAGAGTAAACTACTAGGATTACAGTGTTAACAAAAAAGCAAAAGATCCTAAAATAATACCCAAAAATAGAAAATTAGAAATTATATCTCTAAAAATGCCAGTAAGTATTCAAAAAAATCAAACTTCATGGGGAAAAAAACAGTAACTGATTTCAGGAATTCAAAGAAATGGTTAAAGTAGGGAGCTGCGTCAGCATGCGTAGGCTGTAGAGGAACAAGTAAAGGTTTATTCCATGCTGTAAAGAGACGAAAAGAAATAACGTTTCAGCTGTGGGGCCTTATGCAGGCATGGAAGGTGTTTACACTTCAAGAAGGCTCAACATCTTCTCTTTACAGCACTGCATAAACCTTAGTCGTTCCTTTGTATTAATAGAAATGGGAGGAGAACACTTACGAGTCTGTGTCGAGTGAGAAATAGTCATAGAGCTTGACTATTCGAGGATGGTCCAGCTCTTTGTGGATTCTGTATTCCCTGCAGGCATGTCTGAAATCACAGGACACTGCATGAGGAGCACAACAGACCCTAAAGAAAGCTGCATTACAGGGTGCCAAGCACGCTTAAATACTTGCCAAAGATGTTTGCACATTCAAATACAATGCAGACACCTTTATTAGTTATTGTGTAATTACTTATTACAGGATATGGTAAAGAACTGTAAAGTTAATAACAATGAAGAAGCACAGAAGAGTGAAATTGAAATAAAAACATTCCCACAAGAGAAAAAGAGCTCTAACATTTGTGTAAGTTAACTTATCAGTGAAATACAGAGGAACAAATAAGCATACTTGTGGTAGTTTTCTTTCTTTTCGTCTCTCCAGTTCTTGTTTAACTGGTGAATTTTAACAGCGACATATCTCTGTTCTGTAAGGTCAAAGGCCTGGAAATCACAAAAAATAAAGAACGCTAAAGTTATTAAACCCAAAGTCCAGGTTTCAAAGTACTGATTGTCACACATAATAGGTCATTAAAGAACTAAGTGTAATTGGCTTTTTTCTACAAGCCTCCATTTTCTCATGCTGCATCATGTCTTTATCCGGTGTGGTGTTGCCTTTTGTGTGGACTGTGAAAAGGCTTCTCATAAAAAGAAAAAAGGCTGATGAGCTGTCTGGCAAAACACTGAAAAGCAAACTAACAATTAGAGAAGAAAAAAAAACATTTTCAAAACATAGTTCCAAAATACATCAGCAGTTTCATAAAACCATCTGCAAGATACATAGCAGGATATTCAATGACATTCCAAAAGACTTCAATTAAACATAAAAATCATTTGTATCATATTTATTTTCCCCATCTAGTCAGTCTGAGACAAAGGACCATCCTTACCTTATAGACCTCACTGAACCCGCCTCTTCCTAGCAAATGTAGTAACAGGTATCTGTCATTTAATGTCGGGTGATCTTTGAACCTGGAATAACAGTGTGACAGTTAAGCAGGTGCGAGACTCTCAAAGCACAATATCTGCACTTATTCAGCAGAGGTCTTCATTATCCTACCAAATTAACACTGCTCTCCTGTCTTGTTCTGTTGACAAGCTGCAGGAACCACCAAACCTACTGCTTGTCATCCACATGAAAAGTGTGATTGAGTTACAGCACTAGAGTACAGGCATAATCTGAGTCAATTACAATGACCCTTGGGTCCTCAGAAACAGGAGGTGCGACAAAAGACAGCTCTCTTGTCATCCTATGATATGTAAATCCAAAATCAAACCAATGCCACTACAAATAGTAATGATCTGAGCTAATTTAAAAAAAATGCATTCAAAGAATTTAGTACAGAAGTTACCAAGTATTTCTGTTTTCACAATTATTAATATTATACTGACTACATTTCACTTTTCTTAAACTGGGGAGCTTATGTTAACCATGTAGACAAGGTTTATCAATGAACCTCCAGCCAGATGCAGTGTAACCCCTGGTTGACGTGTGGTCCAGTCTATGTTGGAGCTTTGGTGAAGCCAAAATAAGTGTGGATTAGATGGGCCATTTGTTTTAGATGGGCCAGACGGCACCCAGTTGTTTGCAATCATATATTGTTATGACCTACGATTCTAGTCAGTGGGCTGTCTAACCGGCCAAGGGCTCCATGTTTCAGATAAGCTTTCTGGATAAAGATCTCAGTGACTTACTGAGAATTATCTTCATTGTGTATCCTTTTGAGCTCCCGAATGTGCAGGTTTCGTACTCTCTCTAACCGTTCCAGCTCTGCCTGTATCTCAGCTTCTTCCTGTGAGAAACACACAGCTCCTGTAATTGCAGCTCAAAAACTCTAGCAGCCTTCCTTGTACAAAGCTCTGTACAAAGGACTTTTATCAGACAAAGCCTTATGCAAAAACATCTACTAACAGCAATCTAATTGTTTTACCATCGGGAAAATCAGATTTATAACTATTGTTACATGATGACCTAGTTTTAATTCAGCAGCAGGTCATAACATCTTTTAAAAAGCTCAGAAGAAAACGCATCCAAAAGCATACCTTTATGTAACTTGTCTGATTTCCCTTACTGTCTAAAGAATGATGTCACGAGACAACACCTGGTTTATTTGTACAAAATTGTTGAAAATCTAATTGCATAAAACAAAAACATCTAATATCTCATGAATATCCTTGATTTTGAGCGAGAAAACGACTGTTGAAAAAACGCATTCCATCAATAAATTTAACATCGAAATTGACTTTACCTTTTTGAGGTGTCCAAGCCTCAACTTAAAAATCTCCTCTTGCTCATGGTATTCGGCAAGCGTTAACCTGAAAAGAAAAACTAAACATTAAGACCATCCCTGCAAGCATGTCATGATTCTTTTATGCACAATGCTGAAGAGGCTTGATTTCGACTTCCACTTATGGCCAACCTCTCACATATTGGTCACGTCTAGAGAAAGGTCAGCTCTAGGATAAAGGGAATATTGTCTAAGGGACGTATAGTTTTCAAAAGAAAACATACGTTTCACTCTCAGCACCATTGGCCTTGTTTTTGCGTTTATTCTGCTCCAGGTTGGGTGGTGGCGTCTGGCCCATGGCTGGAGGTTTCCGTTTTGCCAACATTTTCCGCTGCCTCTCGATTTCTTCACGCTGGGTGTTTATTCGCTCCTGTTGTCTGAAGGAGAGAGTAAGTCACTTAAACTCACAGTTTAATGAACCTTTTAATATTCCTCTAATCATTGAACAGTTACATATTGAGAATTCAGATAATGTATGTTCAATGTGTCATTTTTGTTTTTTTAAGACAACTTAACTGTCTTGGAATTAAGTTGTAAGTACTTTGAGATTCTCAACTGGGAAGAGAGGTCATGTGCAAGTTGCTGTTTTGTTAACACCTCAGTCATATGGTCCTTGTTCTAAACTCTTACTTGATGAGGTTCTGAAAGGCGTATCCATCAGTCCACTGCTCTGTGAAAGAGGCTCCGTGCCGCACTGTGGTGAAATGCCCAAGTCTCAAACGGTCCTGCATGCTCTTGTCTCGACATGCCATTTTTTCCTGTTTGGACTGAAAAAAGGGGTTAGAGACATGCCTTTTTAAACTTGACTCTTGATACTAATTCAAGTTGGATATGCATACAGGAAGAGAAAATTAGTTTTTTTTGGTTTTACTGGTAAGAATTAGAATCAGATAAACATCTGAATAAGGTAGTAGTCTAGATTCACTCACCTTCTCAATTAGTAGCTTTTTGCTCATGGTCACACACTTGTTTAACCGTTCCTTGTACTTTTCCAGCATCTTCTGTTGCTCATCAATCTGCCGTCGTAGATCACAGTTTGCCTGAAATGGTATCAAGTTCTTAGTTGTACAGACCATATGAACCAAAACTGTGGATTGCAGTGTGCAATTGAGCTTCCTGAAACTGTACTACTTTGTGGCTCTTTAAGAAGGCTGCTGCATGCTCAAGACAGAGATCAAACCATGAGAAATGCAAAGCAATTAAATGACCTGTTCACAATGGTATAGCTCTAACACATCTACACTTCCAAGAAAGTTTGTGAATCCCCAATATAACTATGGGAATTACAGTTTCTTAATGGATTTTCAGTGAAGACTTGAGATTAAAGACCTTCCGTATGTGTATGTGAATGTAATACCATACTAATAAAAACATACATCTCACCCCGGATAAGGAGTAGTATTTAGAATCTTACCCGCAATAAGTCATCTATTCTTCCCTCTTTTTTCTCCAGATCAGAGTTCTTGTTGTTTTCCAAAGCTTTAAGCTTTTCAATTGTGAGGTCCGACTGCAAAAAGCCACAATCTGAATTTAAAACTTTTCTCAACAGTGCTCAGTGCTGACCTGGATTATGATATAAATACAGCTACAGCAAATACAGAGAAACAGGACAAAAGACTAGAAACTATCAGAGTACCGTTCAAAGATTTTGACAGTGATTGCCAGCAAAAGCCAGAAGTGTGCAGCAGCCCTGTACCTGTGTTGCTTTATGCAGAGTGGAGATGGGCTTCTGGGAGCTGGAGGAATGGTCAGTGTTGGCAGAGCCTGTAGATGATGGACTGCCCTGCTGGACCTGCACAACAGAAATAATAGGGTTATTCCATGTTGAAAAGAGGAGAAAGGAAACACAAAGTTTCGGCTGTGGAGCCTTCTTTCTAGATCCAATATAATTCTAACTGGTCAGTGTTGGCAGAGCCTGTAGATGATGGACTGCCCTGCTGGACCTGCACAACAGAAATAATAGGGTTATTCCATGTTGAAAAGAGGAGAAAGGAAACACAAAGTTTCGGCTGTGGAGCCTTCTTTCTAGATCCAATATAATTCTAACTGTTCACTACCTCAAGCTAAATTGTGTTGTGATAACTTCGTATGTTGGGTTTTCACCGTCAATATTTCTAATCTTGCTAGATTATGTGAGTGTATGTTCAAATCTGAGCACAATCCTTACAGGCAATTAGAGAAAAAGCTCAGAATTGCTTCTCCAAATATATGACTAGAACTTGACTATATATTTAACTGACAAGAGAATATTCACAAACTTTGAAGAGCATTACACAAGTAAAGAAACTGCGTCACATCCAATTTCTCATGTCACTCATCATGATCAAGTTGAGAACACCAGCATTGAACCTTGGAATACACACATGGAGCTTAACTATGACCAGATGAGCTAGCAACTGGATGCACTTCTTGTGACTGAAACACTTTCTCCATAGCAATGCTAAAATCTCATGTTGTCCAATAAAACTGGTTAAGATGCAAACATCGTATTTAGGTTAGGCTAGGATTAGGTAAGGTGCAGTCCAAATGAATATTTCCTCATCTGAACATATTTTAGTTGTTGATTTTATATAATAAAAAATATTTAAGGCTAACATTTGTAAGTCACTAAATCTTACTCATTACATACAATAACATAACTATGCTGATGTTTCAATTTTACTTACATTACAGTATTTCGCTTTATTTCTATGTTTAACACAACAATCTTTCCATGAAGCACAATGGAGTACCACTAGGTACAGTATAAAATGCTGAATGACTGCAGAAACATTTTTTTCCATACTACAAAAGGCAGGAGAATGTTTTTGGGGGTTTAAGTATAAGTTATAATTGTTTACATGTAAATACAGCTTGAAAAAAAAACTTCTAAAAACAATGTTCTAAAATGCAAGAATATTTGGCAGGGAGTTGGGTGCTCACCGAGGCGGGGGGGTTAGATAAGGAATGTTGAGGAGAAGAGCGTGCCACTGGTGGGACACTCCTACCGGGGCTGGTACCAGGGCCACTGCCACCCGCAAACTAGCAAAGAAACAGAGGCAGGGAAAATAAACAGATTGCAATCATACAACAAACACGTTTTTCCTTTTCTCAAAGTTAACAATACATTGATTATGAAAATTGGCAGCATTCCTTACCTCAAAGTAATCGCTAATTTTATGCCCTCTTGTTCCACATTTCCCTAAAAGCCAAAGGAAGTATTCAGTTAGTCAATCATGTCTGCACATACAGTACGTGATACAAAAGACAAATCATACCATATCGTGTTTAGATCACAACAAAAGGAAATAATTAGTGTAGGACATCCATAGGATGAGTAAACCCTCCATCAACATGCCACTTAATTTGCGTGGAATTCAGGCAACAGAGAAACTTGATTGATTTGGATTGATCATATTTTAATAAATTTAGAATCCCCTAATATTTTAAATATTTTTTTGTTATACGCACTCAAGGTGGAATACCCATTTGTGTGATATTTATGCCTTGGCTAACAGTTGTGAACTCTGTGACCCACCCTTCTTCGAGACACTTGTCTTTTAACACATCATAGGCACCACAGCCCTGTCCCGGAGGTTCAGCCCCGACAGGAGGAGGGGCACGACCCTCACCGACAGCACCACATGCTTGCAAGCGCCCAGAACGCTGAAACAGTCGCCATGTTGTCAATGGAGCTGGCTGACTAATCCCACATAACCTTCAGTGTCTCCTCTTGGGAAATCAAAGTTATAGTTGGCTGTGGTCAACTTTAAGCTCAGAGCCATATTTTAACAATCAGGAGAAGATGATGTCACCTTGACTGGTGTCATATGGATCTCCTTTTCGTTTCCGATTCCTCTGATCATTGGATTTTTTCTCAGGTGTCTGTATTGAAGAAGATGCAACATTAGTGCATGTCAAGGCGTTGCTAGTTCAAGCCAATTATGATCCAGTATAATTCTAACTGTTCACTACTTCAAGCTAAATTGTGTTGTGATAAATTGGTATGTTGGGTTTTCACCGTCAATATTTCTAATCTTGCTAGATTATGTAAGTGTATGTTCAAACCTGAGCACAATCCTTACAGGCAATCAGAGAAAAGGCTCAGAATTACTTCTCCAAATATGACTAGAACTTGACTATATATTTAACTGACAAGAGAATATTCACAAACGTTGAAGTGGCAGGGTGTAAAAAACACCATAGTGTACACAGCTTTGGGTGTGGTTTTTCCTACCATTCAGGTATAGAAAAAAAAACTGGGGCTTTCAAATAATAGTATAAAAGGGGAAAAGAACTGGTGAATTGAATTAAAACAAATTAATTCCTGAAGTTTCAAGGTCATTCACACAGAATCATAATCCATAATCCTCTGCAATAGTTTCTTCAATTATTCAATGTTCTTTAGTTTAAGGTTTATTTGTCACTGCCAAGTCCTTTCATTTCTTCTTTACTGACCTCTAGCTCCTTGTCACTGAGAGATCCCACGCTGCACAGACTCTGGTTGGAAGACTCATTATTACCTGATCCCTGCAATACATCAAAATTGCACCTAAGCCACTTGAATTCCATGGTAAGTGTTAGAAGAGCTGGACCAAAAGTTATACAAAAATTCAGCTACACCAGTCTATAGAACCAACATGGCTAAAGAATATATATTCAGGTTCAAACATTGATATCTTCCTTATACTGCTGGAAGAATTGTGTTATGTTTTTTTCAGAAATAGAGGACAAAAACACACATGGGCAAAAAGGGACAATGTAACCTAACCTAATGTTTCATTAAATCTTCTAATCAAGAACCACCTCCATTCTACAAAAGCAAAGCATGTATATTCAAACTTTCCTGTAGCACCTGCTCTGAGTTTTAGCTTAGCCTACTGTTCACTGCCTGTAAACTGATAATCCTGATACACTCACAAACACCAACACATTTCTAGCTCTTTTGCCCTGTAACATTACATTCAAATGTTCCGGTTTCAGCAAATTTATAAACTTATGGTAAATGTTATTTAACTGTCACTTGCTTACAAGAATACACTTTTAATTTTACCATAGCTTAACTATTTGACTTGCTGTAAAAATGATCAATACAAAAACTTTAATCAAAATAATTGAGTGATACACTGATAAAAATAATAAATTAATAATTTCTTTTACCTCTCTTCTTGAACAAATACCAATGGTAAGTTACACCAACAAAGAAATATCTATTGTACATGAAATGTTCTTCATTGTAGCTGCTGAATTCCAGTTAGAGCATTACAGCAGATTTTTACACAGATTAGTCAATCAGTGAGGTAATAATGTGAAAATTTAAGTGGACTGCTCCTGCTAACCTCAGAACCTTACAAAACAATACATTTTTATAATTTCAAAAATAAAATACTGGACTGGCGAAACTGTTAACAGTGAGTAGATTGTAAGAAGGAGACCCAAAGAAGAATTATGTTTGGAGGGATATCTGCCACTCAAAGTTTTCTCTGCTTCTGAAAATAGGGTGAGAAGCAAAATTAAGGCACCTAAGGCATCTAACACATATATAATTTAACGGTTTGATTAAATAGTCATTTGAGTGACTCTCACACTGGTGCAAGGCGTAGTTCAGAAGAAGACAGTTTTATTTTTGGTCACTGGCACTCTAGAACAATGCTGAGGCTTTTGTTTGTAGAATGAGGATACATGGGTGTACTTTTGCACTTATTTGGAAAAAAAATCTGAAAAGATGTAATAACTTGACACTTGCCAGCAGTGTGAAAGAAACCATAACTAATCTATTTCTTTTCTAGATACATATTTTAGAGATAATTCAGCTTTAGTATCTTGTAATTTTGGCATTTCCAATATAACAAAATAAAAAAAAAAAGTAGATTCACCATAACCACAATATTTATACACTACATTGTGATTATTTTTACTCCATAGACCTTCTACCTCATCAGTTCCATTTATGAATAAAGTGGCCTAAAGTGTTTGTTATATTTTAGGCACCTTTACAGTCTTCTGAGGTCTTTTAATTAAAAATAAAGTCTGCTGTGCCACACTGCAGACTTTATATTACAGAAACATACAACAGCTGTCATTCCACATTTTCTGAGCAAATCTGAATCTAAACATGCATTACATGTAGCACACTGAAAAAACATTTACAGTACTGGAGCTGATGAAACACAGGTTAGGAAATATCACACATGTACACTGACACCTGAGATACAGTAAATATGCTTGAAGAAATTCACTCTTTTCATTAAAGGGGAGAAACAAAGACCTCTGAAAACAGTGCATCTTTAAGATCAATCAATTGATGGAGAGAAACATTCCAGAAAAGTGTGTAGATTTTGCAGTTATCTCTTGCAAAACCCAGTAATTTGTGTTTCAGCACGAATTTGATCATTTCTTTTATTCTCCATGATACAATCTAAAAACAAAAGCTAAAAAAATTCCAGATGCAACAACATGGGGTGGAAATACTGCTTGCATCACATCTTCCAATAGTTTAAAAATGAATCAAACCAAGTAAAGTCTCAGGATGTTTTAAGGTTCTCTGTCAGTTAACTAAAATGATTTTTTCTACACTGCTCCACAGCAGGCAGCCAGTGTGACCACAGTAATAAGTACAAATTCTACAGCACTCTCATGAGTCACTATGATGCAAACACGCCATAGTGATGCTGGATGATATCTTCAGGGATCAAGATATCTTCAGGGATCAAGATATCTTCAGGGATCAAGATACCCCAGTTCAAAAACATCAATGATTCAATCTACACCAATACACTTCCATGAAGCTGAAACGAATCACGTGGCAACATTTTAGTTTCCACCATTTTCTTCAGAGCAGCCCTGCATTCAACACTAGATGAGCCTGGCACTCAGCCCAAAGTGCTAGCTTCAAAGTGGTATTCCTATTTGTACTTTATACAGAGAAAAGAAAGGCTTCTCTCATCAGAATAATTACCAAACTTTTATGCAAAAACAAAGTATTAATTTGATTTTATAAAAAAAGCATGGCTGGACATCACATCTGATTTATTAATTTCAAGATTTGAAATTAACATAAGATATGATTGCTAGATTTTAAGCAAATTCCTCCTTGGACTATTTCAATATACCAACTACGAAATAATCACAAGCATTTTTATAGATGGATATGTTAATGTTTTACATGGAAGCTGTGCTAGCTTATGAATAAATACTACACCATGCAAAGAGGCATTACAAAAAACATCCATAAATATTTTAAATTTGTTAATTTTTCTGATTGACTTCAATTACAGTTAGACCTTTTCAGGTGCTCTTACTGTTTATAAAACAATGAATTCCGCTTCCAAATATTGGATTATCAGCACAATTAAATGTCATTTACACAGTGTCTCTCACCAAAAATAAGAACCGCACAGCAGTTAAAATGCCCTAGTAGCCTCAACTTGATAAAATGACAGAAGCCATAAAGACTGCAAATTATCCTTATGTGGAATATGGTAAGAGAAGAGTGGGTTTGGAAATGGGTAGAAAATTTACAAAACAAAGCTGAATTTTGGCAAGCAAGTTTCTATTCATACAGTGAAGCAATGCCTTGAGCTCTATCCGGTCTAAACCTCAAAGCACCAGATTTCAACTGAAGGCACAATCCTCCCAAGTCAAAGCCGTCTCCTTCACAGGGCTACTCAACTATGGCACTTAAGGGCAACAGAATCTCCAGCCTCTTGTTTTTTTCTTTTCACTTAGGTTGGACTATTTTACATTTGTGCATCACACATGTCATTTAAGTGATTAATAACAAATTATGCTGTACAGCATTACCAACCTTGGTGACCCCAACCCCTGTGAACCTGGCTTCCAACAGCTCCTGCCGCCTAGGGTCCAGGCTGTGCAATTCTTCCATCATTTCTACAGAGGGAGAGTAACAGGTGGACATATAATGGCTACATAAGAAAAATGGAACATCAGGATCAAGGTCCATCAGCGCATCCTCAAGAGAAACAAAATAAATTACGAAAAAGCACTTTTAAGTGGTTTGGAAAGTGAGCATCCCCATTTGTTATGATCACTAAAGCAACGTGTGATGTTGCACCCCACAGAACAATATGCATCTAAAATAACTAAAAACAGTTTATCAAAGGTAAATCATAAAGACAACAGATGTGTATATGATAGAATGCACATACAAAAACACAAAGGTTTCTTGAGAATTGTGACTCATTTTTTCCTCCATCAAATCCTATACTCACTCCCACAGGTTTCCAAAACATCATTTACCGTAAAAAAAAAATCCTCTAAAACCACCTGGTTCTGGCACTGTGAAAAAAACACTTCAGTATAAATGCTACCTTGATGATATACAGCTTTTTCACCAGAGGAAAAAAAACCCATAAGTGTCAGAGATTCAAAAAACAACAGCTTCCCAGGTCACATGAAATGATAAACCATGAAACAACATACAGCAATTAAAATAATAGAAAAGATCATTAGCTAATAATTTTTTTAAAAAATTAATGATAATTCCAATAGCACTGTGTCAATGACTCAAACTGCAGTGAAAATAAATGACCATTTTCACTTATTTTTGAAAAAATCATGTTTAACAGTTTCTCTCATGTGCATCAATCCATATGCACAGAATGTAGTTCTAAATATTATTGAGTGGTTTAAGATTATTTTATTTTGATTTCACACCAAAGATTCAAAGCCATCTATGACACCAGACATTATATATTTTAATTCCTTCACTAAAGCACACTCTTCAGAAATTGCACTTCGGAAGGTCTTGCAAACAAGTTAAAGCGTCATACTTTAAATACAAGTCACCTTTCCCAAATGCGAGGCCTTTATAGCATAGGTGTAGATTTTAATACAACAGTAAAATATTATACAATACGTTCTCATTCGTCAAAGTACAATATAGCATCTACAACCGCGTGAATGACTCAAAATTCTTAATTGATGTGTCGTATACCTCATTTTAGGTTATCTCAAGCAAACGAATTGTATTTATGGAACTTAGACACACATTAAGAAAAAGTCTAATGTACAAACAGAGATTATAGGAAACGGATAAATTCCAACTCATTTGAATAATTTTAAAAACATTTCAAAGTACTACGCGTACCAGGGCTGATGATGCTATTATATGTTTTTCCCCCAGAAAACAACAAACACATCCCCATCCCAGCTTAGGGCGATGCTGTAAATCCCCACTTCATGTACCTGCGGCGGTGTAGTTTTTCTCGGGCCCCGGGGGTCAGGGTAACTCGCTGGGAGTCGACTCCGAGCCTCCTGCGGCCCTCCTCAGCTACCCCCGACACTCCCAACGAGGCCTCGTCCCAATCCCCGTCCTTTGCCTTTGCAGGGCTCCAAAACACAGCACAGGTTGCTCGATACAGCCACCGCGGCCCTGATCCTGAGAGGTGGCGGGGACTCTCGCTGCGGCCTAGAAATCCTCGGGCTTTCCCGACCCCGCTTTACCGCTAACCCTGCGCGGGCAGCTCCGGGGTATTTACTTTTCCTTCTGAGGAAAACCCGACTGCTCTCTTTACTCACACTATACAAAATAAACTCCGTCCTCTCGCCTATTTCATTTGGGATGGGCTGCAGAAAACGATTAGGTTTTTTGTTGTTTTTCGAGGTGAGTCTAAACCTGTATCACAGAGCAACCGCTATAAAGTATGTATAGCAAACACGCAAGATACAACCCATCTATCGAGGGTCCCGTGTTCCGCTGCGGAAGTGATCGTGTTCCGATAAATTCAGGTCAATCCGGATTGATTCGGTTCGGTTATCTTTTTTTAACAATGTAAACAATAATCGGTAAATCTCATTCTTTCTCGTGAGATCGTGCTCCCGTTTTTTCCCACCCCGCCTATAGCCTCTGATCTGCACCAATGAAAGAGCTGAGACACAAATTTGGCCCAACATAACTAGGACAGTATAGCCCGATTAGAACTTAATAGCGGACACGTTATGTATACACATTGCACACCTTGCCTCATATTTATAATGAAGTAAACACGTTATCTATAGATATGTTTACATTATTTGATCTTTTAAGACTTACATTCTTAAAATATTTCTCTGACTGTGGACACATGCATTTATTTTTTACAAGTAATAGGTTTATTCCATGCTGAAAAAAAGAAGAGAAAAAACACAACGTTTCGGCCAACTATAGCCCTTTTGTATTTTAAATATGGTTCTTATTATTCTAGGAATAAGTGAAAATATTTAACTGGATATACCTGAGAATTAACTTTGAGGACTATAAGGTTTCTTCCTCCCGCAGCGACTTTCCATGGGAATATCCTCATCTAAAAAGTCTGCTAATAATCACATTCTGTCAATTTATGAAAGTGCTTCCTCATAAACATGACAGAAGACAAAAAAATGTAAATCATTTGGTTCACACACTTGTATTTTTCTGTTAGGAGCCATAAATTGCATGAAGGACATGAGGGAAGAATTAAATATATTCCATTACACTGCAGATTTGTCTGTCAAGTACAAGTCCTTTACTCTACAATTTGTAAAAATGTCAGTTCATTTCTCTGCACTTATCTTGATGAAATTGTGGTAGGAGGGAGAAAAACAAAGAAAACTAAATGTGCTGTGGATTACCGAATGATTTTAACAGTTTCCATGGGGCTCATTTCATAATCCAGGTTTATGCTATCTGTGGTGGCTAAACCTTGAAAGGAGATTGCTTGAGCTCCATCACCCAGACATCACACATTTGAGTCTGCATCAAGTCCATTGCCAACTCCTATTCCCCAAGCAGCAGTGAACAGCTGGATAAGTGGACATTGGAAGTAGTGGGATTCATTGGCAGGTCTCTCTCAGCTCTTCACAATCCCTACAGCCTCCTGGTCGCTTGCAGACTATGGATCCTCTAGGCAGTGCTAGTTCAGGGCTGTGTCTCCACTGATGTTAAAAGGCTAGTGGGTTAAAGTTGAGTGTGCCTACACTTACTATGTATGATCGCGGGCTTTGTAGCTGTGGGCTCAGACAAGATTAAACATAAAAACTAGTAAGGTACATAACAAAAAATAGTCAGTTTTAAATGTAAAGAAAAGAATAAACAAATAGCATAAAGGAAGTCTCTTTTATATAATTTTTATTCCAAAATAATTATTTTAAAAACAACACTAAAATTGTTGATGGTAAACCAATGGCAGCATGGTCACACACTATCAGTACAGACTACCTGTGCTGTCACTTGAATTGTGCATGTTATCTCATTTGTAACTTCCAATATTCAAATTCATCATGACAAAAAATCATTGAACCATCTTCTAATCATTTTAAAAAGCAGGTAAAGGTTTATCCCATCTGGAAAAGAAACAGACAACGTTTCAGCTGTGGAGCCTTCTTCACTGAAGACTCCATGGCCAAAACATTGTCTCTTTTCCTTTCAGGGTGCAATAAAGCTTTACATGTTCCTTTGCAGCTTACGCATACTGTCATGGCTACCTACTTGAACATTTTAAAAAGCATCTGTTGTTTTGCAAGAGACAGACAGTTTGTTCCAAAGGATAAATAATTGACTCCATGAACTTAAAAGCAACTTTTTTATACCCTAATTCAGAAACAGCACCTTGTGCCTAAAGTAAAGGCATCAGTGTACAAGAACAGCAACGTTGTGAAAACATTCCCCATATACTATCCCCATAGTACAGGCCCAGTTCTAATCCAGCTATTCCAGTCAACCTGACCTCACTGCTTAGCCCTGAGTGCCATTATTCAATGGCGATGGCTTGGAGTATTTGCACTGGATCCAGACACGGTACATGGTCAGCTGTTTGCCACGGTTGACTTGCAAGCGGCGGTCCACCAGGTTCTGCACTTTCTCCAACCCTGCACTGGTGAAAATAGCATCCAGCTCATCTAGAACATACAAGCACACAGGAGCAACAAGTCAATGGCACCTTGAAATGAAAAACAACCATCCCGTTTCTAGAACAGCCTGCACATTTGCAATCTAGAACCTCAGTTGAACAGCCCAACAAGCTCAATTGTTCTGGAATTCCATTATTTGAATTAATGTTCAGGTGACTTCAGAGTCCAACAGACTTTGCAGTATTGAGAGAGAAGACAAAATGTTTAGAACTGAAAAAAACCTGCCTTGACTATTTCGTAATATATAAGGAGCCTTCTCTCTCACTACCTCTACTTGTCTCTTACTAGTTGCCTAGATAAGAAATGCAGTGGACCTGCAGTTAATAAGACCGTTCTGCACTCCTTGTTTGGTAAAAGTCCTTTCTGTACATTAAAAGTTATTTCTCTGTACATCAAGGTGTCGACCTTAGACACTCACATTACCATATGTATATAAGGGTGGCATGGTAACACAAAGCATTGCTGCTTTGCTGTGCTCAATTTCAGTTGTGCTATCTGTTGCTTGCCAAAATAGGCTCCGGCTTCAAATGCAACCCTGTATTGGATAAAGCGATGAGAAAATGGATGGATATATACAGATTGTGGAAAGCTACCTGTTAAGAAATAATTATTTCATTTAAAATTAATACTCATTCATACAAATGTTCTTTTTTTCGCTTTGATACAAAGATTTGCAAAATATGAAATTAAAAAGCAACATTATGCATCACTAATATTTATTAGTTCTCTCTTGCATGTCTTTCTTCTACTTATTTGTGCCATTAGGAAGACACTCTATACCTTGTGTGAAGAAGTACACTCGAGTTCCATCTCCTCTGACATAGAAGTTATCAGACAAACACCTTCCTACAATAAAGACAAAACAGCATTTGCACAATATTAAAAATATTCTCACAGGTGAAAAACATCATATAAATGGATTTATTTCATGTACCACACTGGGTGCTTTTTATAAGATCTCTTTTCCATGAAGAAATGTATACATTGGCAAAACTAAAAGGCAATTTAAACAAAGCTCAGCATAAAACCGGAGTTCCATTACATCCCATAACCTGACTTACCAGTGTCGTCTCACTTTATAAAGCGAGACTATTAGACTAATATATATAGACTATTACAGATATAAACTTTTTTAGACTAATCATGCAATTTTAGACATGTGGCTATTGAAAAAGACAACATCTTGTAGAATGGTAGTGATATTAATAGTAATTGTAAAGATGGAAGCATTTGGGATTTTTCATCTGTAATGCCTTATGGTTAAAACACAGAATTAGACTAAAAGTAATGTACTGTGTACTAAATGTATGGTGACTATGTTTGATGTTACATAACATTTTATAATCTCCTTGAATAAACAAAAATTGCTACTAATAAGGTTAATTGGATTATTCTAAATATATTGGGTCACACGTATTTTCCCTTACATATGTCTAATTGGTTTAATTAAAATATATTTAAGAAAGGAAGGATTAATTTATAAAGCAAGGCTTACTCTCCTATGTAATTCATGTAACAAACAAATGTTTGATTACTTAAAATCTTTTTTTAGCCACATATGCATGCCCTGATAAAGGACAGAAATGTTGACAGCAGCTCATAACTTTATTTTAGTGAAAATAAAGTGTGCATCCATCTCATCTTATTTCTCTTCCTTCAAAAGGTAAGGGAAACAAGCCTATACGTTTTGGCTTGTGTGAATCAGACTGCATTCTTGAGACATAACCTCAACTGGAAATATGAGAATTTGAGAGGCAGCCCCCCTGTCAGAATTAGAAAACCCTGAGATCAAACATCATTTGCAAGTGTGTGCTTGGGTCACATGATGCACTGGTCAAATCAACAAACGAAACCTAAAACCAGCCATGTGTAAATTAAAAAGTCAGAATCAGTATTCTCTTTCTTTTAAAACACCAATTTAAAGACAGCCATTTACCACTTTAGCTACCTCAGTATCAAACCCCTAAACAAACCTGAGAGAACTAAAGTTAAAAGACAGATGCTCTGTAAAGGATATCTTTGAGGCACCTGCTTATTTTAACACAGGCACTCTTAAGACCACGCCTTCTAATTTGGAATTAGACTGACAAATAGACAACAACAAAAACACTCAGACTCACAGGCAAACATCCAGAAAAAGAGACTCTACAACTGAACCAGCCTTTGCAGGTTTTAGATAACTGGATTCCAGGAGGGTTTAGTGTCTGGTTTGTTTCTACTTGACATATCAAATAAACACTTAACCTATTTTTTTCCCCAACACTTACAGGATGTTTCTTTCTTCTCTTTGACAGACAATAACCCAAAACATTCACTTAATTAAAAGTGCTGCTACCTATAAACTGCTTTGGGGTCATGTTTGAAATATTACAATTAAATCAAAATCAGGCTGTCCAAGAATTCAGTTTAAAATCTCTGGTGTAGAGGTCCCTAAGAGTAGCTGAACATTAACTCAACATTCCCCAATTCAGGGACCAGAGGGAAAAGGTGTAAACGATAAGGAAAAATGTTTAGAGTAATGGAGAAAATTAATTATTTATTTGAGGATAGTGCGTGTCTGTAACATGCTGCCAAGTATTGTCATTGAAGCTAATTCCAAGGCATCCTTAAAGAAACGGCAGGACGTAATCCTCAGATCAATAACAAAAGAAACACGATGGGTCAAATCACCTCCTCATGTTGGCAAACTCTTGGCAAACATGCTACGGGTTTTATTAGAGTAATCTCACAGTGACTTCAAACATCTCAAAGAGAGCACAATCAGTTCAACACTCAAACAATGCAACTGTTGTATTTTACAAGTAAAGTTTGACTCAATCATGGATTTGTACAAAGGGACTAAGATACTGAAACAAAATCCACAGATGTATATTTTGTAAAAAAGCTGAAAGATAAGCACCTTTCTTGAAGCGTAGTTGAGCCATATCGTATCGCCCATAGTCCCGCAACATGATCATTCCTCCTGGCTTTAGAAGTTCACAGAGTCTGGATATGGACTTCTGCATTCTGGGAGAACAGAAAGGGGAAAAACAAACCTGGGTTTTAAACATTCAGACAACCCCCTTCGAAGAGATACAGGCAACAGACAACTGTATTGTACAATTTCTGACTACATTATGTTACCCAAATACCGTATCTACCTTAATTACGATGGATTTCTTATTTTAACTCACACACATGGTGCACTAGTAAATGTAGTGGGTTTCATTGTTTGTACTGTTTGTAGAGGAACCAACTACAAGGAGCCTGCAATGTGAACTGGGACTAAGTTAATCAAACCTCCAAGATCTGCATCATAAAAACATATACTGATCCAAATTACTAAAGTCTAAAAAGGTAAAAGTAGAGTGGCATAAAAATGGAAATTTAATAAAACCCAATAAAGCATAACAGCTGACTAGGTCGGATGAGCAGACATTCAACATACATGCTCTTTGAGACAGATGGCAAGAATTGCCCAAACCAACTCACTTGTCAGGGTGAACTGCAGACAGAACGAAAATGAGTACAATGATATCCAGACTCTCTTTTGGCATGGGGAACCTGGCAGCCTCATCACACAGGTCATGCACGAAGGCGAGGCAGCGTGTGGGGTTGTACTCCTCATTAGCCTAAGGTGAGGAAGCAAGTCCTTGTTGAATTATTTCAGGAGGGGACATTTTCTATATTGAAACTCCAGCCTTTGAAAGTGGGCAGGTTTCTCACCTTAACCAGCTCCACAGCAGTAGTGGAAAAATCACAGCAATACACGAACAGCCCAGGGTCACTGCAGAAAAAATGGCAACAAAAAACAGGAAACAAAATGCACTGTGAAGATAAAACACCACCAACGAGCAACCCAATGTGGTGCAGAGAGGAAAAGTAATGAGAAGAAAAGTAAACAAAGTGTGTAAAAGCTTTCGTTTAGTTATTATATATGTGGGAATTGAATTAAGTGGAAAAAAATAAATGACTATTAAAACTGTGAGTTCTTTGTCTGTTTTATGAGGGATTGGAATTCATTAAACAAAGGGTATGAAAGATCCTCTTAAATGGAATATGCGTTACACAAGACTCATAACTGATAGAAAGGGTGGGGTACGGCCACAAGATCAGCACCAATGACATTGTGACAGGTTGTCAATACTCCTGTTTGTCCTTACTCCTCAGATTCTGATTCTCAAACCAGCAATTTAAGGTACAAGTTAAAGCAGATTCCATAACATACAGATAAAACAATCAATCAATATTTATAAATATCAATATTAATCAACAATGAATTACAAAATTGTTTGAGCCCACTTAAGAAGTTTGCCTCCAAATGTAACTTGCAATCCAAAACATAGACATTATCAATCAGCCAATCTAGCTCATGTGACTGCTAGTGGCTAAATGATCTACTGTAAGAGTCTCAACCATCTGTTTTTTGAAAGACGCCAGTGTATCAGATTCAACAATATGCCTGAATAGCATTTTACAGACTCTCCCTGGGTAACTTTGTAGCTACAAATTGATGTTTCTTAGTCAATCAATCTTCTTGACACGCATAATGGACAACAGAAAAAACTCATCTGACTGTATAAAGCTCTATTACATATTCTCATTTTTTTAGTATCAGTCCACGACAGAATAATACAAGAATCTTAGCTTTTTCATTCAACAAAAATGACTGTGCTTGTGGTTTGAACACCCTGAAATCAAGCAAAGATTGTCATAAAAGGACGTAATATAAAAAAATTCAGTTTTCTTCACTATTCATCCGTTCCTGCTTTGTCTCAAAGTTTTACATACAGTTTATCTGATTAATGCATAGAGTCAAAAAGGAAAAGTGGACTGACTTACGTGTTTGTCTTTAAAATGGGAAATACTGTATTTCCTACGCCACAGCCAACCTGCACACAACCAGCCACAAACATCTTGTTACACACAGAACCTCAGCTTCTGCCCATATAATCCTGCAGTATCTGAAGACACCTGTCTATCTTTCTCTACCCACGGACTCCTTCTGTTTAAGATCGGGTTCAAACACGCCACAAAATCAAATATGAAGCAAGAAGTAATTCCAATACTGACTTGGTCAGTTTTCATATTGTGATGAAGATAAATGGTTTATTTATCAAAACTAACTGTTCTCATCAAGTTTAAAAAAAATTTCTTCCTAGGGAAAAATAGTACAGTTTTCCCATAATATCCCGGTATAATAAGTTTAATATTATATTAAATAATAAGTTATTATTAATAAGTTAATAAAGAAATCTGGAGGTCTGGAGACAAAGAAAGAAAGTAGATGCATGACCTTTCATCCAATTTAGAATAAACTAACAGCAGAAAGAGATTTCAATGTTAATTTTTATTACTTCTAGAACATAAGAACAAAGTTGACAAATGAAAGGAGGCGATTTGGCCCATTTGGTAGTTTGAACTTAATTGATCCAGCCATTTCTTAAATTAAACCAAAGTATCAGCTTAAACCCAATTTGTTCTATATTTGCACAAACCTGGAAGTTACCTATTTATACTGAAACATCGGAATTTTTAATTGGTTTAAATTAACCTCAGCTGGCACTACTGATAAATCAAAAAAATCATAAAATGTCAAACTTCAATTTCAGCGGATTGGAGTGGATCATAAGAAATAAAATAGTTACCTCCAAAATACGGAAAGTGGCAGATGACCCTGGGAAATCGCTGCTATTCAGGTTCATGGAAGCACAATCAGAGGAGCTCTGTTCACAGTTAGACTGGCACCTTACAGGATGACAGTGGATAAAGGTCTTTGGTAGGGATCTTCCACCTTGGCACTGTACTTGAGTGCCTGTCAACAGGCCTGAACAGTCCTGTTGTGGGCAGTTCTCTGTTGTGTGGGAACACTGTGCTTGTTTCGGAGCCAATTCAGGGAATTCTGTAAAGAGCCAGTGGCGGTCCTTGAAGAAGCGGTTCTCGTGGATCTTGTAGAAATCATTCCAGTATTCATTTGCACAGCTTTCATAATCCTCTGCTGACAGAAATCAGTGAAATGAGTGCCCACAATAAAGGCTCTGAAGGTCATCCTTTAAGATTGAGGCTACAGAGAGGACCATTTACAATTTCAAATTGATAAAGATGTGTGTAACATAGACAAAGGGGCAGAAGTCTATCACTTTTAAATAAGCTGCTATACTGTGCTGAATCTGGCAGTCAGGGGTAAGGGATTTTTTATTCTAAAGCACAATGAAAAAACAATGAATTTTAGCAGATCTAATTGGTGTTATCAACTGTCCTAATTACTGAGGTAACATATCTTTATTATATCACAGTGTCAAATTCCATTCCAGAGGCTCAACAGGCAAGTCTGAATGGAAGCAAATATAAATCAGCACAATAAACTGTTTTCTCATCCCTTTGAAGGCTCATGTTAACCGCAATGCAGTATACTTGCCAAGAAAACACCAGACCTAAAAGACAGTGCCATGCACTAATGAAAACAGAAAATAAAAAATGTATAGCAACAGGGAAATAAAAGAGTCTAGGACATCACACCACCACAGACTTCTCACAAACCTTGCTCCTCTGGGGGAAGTGGCTGGCTGTTCTCCAGGACCTTCTGTTTAGCGGTCTCTTCCTGTTGCTCTGTCCACTCCACGTTATCCCTGAGAAAGAGCGGAAAAGACACATTAGCTCTGTGTGACATTAACAGTCCAAATCTCCTCTGATTTCCCAAACTTTGGTAGCCTTTAAATACCACTTTTGTTTGCTTAACCTTCTACCATGAATAAGGTTACAGTTTTCATAAGTTTCCTTCTAAAGAAATATTTAATCTTGAAATTAACAAGAGTACAAGCGTTATTAGTTAAACCTTAGCTTAAACATAACTTTTTTTCAAAGGGCTTTACATTCAAAACAAATACTAGCTCCGAAAAGCTCAAGTTCAATAGTGCAGTTGTAAAAAGTTCGCAATTCATCATGATACGGTAATATGTATTTCCCCTATAAAACATCGATAACCTGCCAATCAAGCTGTAATATTTTTTAAGTATACCTATAAATAATGTACGAACACGTTCTGTACTCTGAAAAAGCAATGCGAGTTTGTATTTATCACGAATCACTATAAAGCGCAAATTTAACTGGGTATAAAAAAATCGTTATATGACTGAATGTTTCATCTAAGTGACACCACAACAAGTAAAGCAGCCAGACATTCGTCAAGTCGTCGCTGATCATCCAGCACTTGAACGGTTGTCGGTGAGAAAATATGTACGTAATAAAACATAGAAACATGAAAATGAAATAAAGAAATAAAATGCAGAACATAAAAATCAAATTAATAATAAGATAAAAAGTCAGAAAAAAAGAAGGAGAGGACAAAGACGCAGCGCCCCCCTTGTACGTCAGGTAAGCGTGGTCGCATTCGACCCTACTGTATATCAACATGCACTTGAGAATACAAAGATAAAAATATTCAATATATCACGTCAAGCTCAGCATATTTTAGAAACAACACTATAGTAAGATGGTAGCAAAAAAGACAACAAACTTTTTTCACGCCAAAAATCGTAACTCCTTTCACAAATTCATACTGCCTCGCACAGGCTGCCAACTGTCCCTGAAACATTACTGTCACCTATGTAAAGTACAACCCATTAACACTCGTACCAGGCGTTGTGCTGGAAAACTCGACTGGGATCAGTCAGGTACCGTGTTCCGAACTGCGGCCTCTTCCAGTCCCCAGAAAGATTTGTCGGACTCAACACCGACTTGGAACCACCAGAACACAATTCAACGTCTCCCAGAGCCGCCATGATGGTCCGGCTTCCGGAACTAGGAAGCGACAGCGGCGCGGAAACACGTCACTAGATGAAGGACTTTGCAGGGGCACGTTTTTTTATTTGAACAATAACAACAACAAAACAAAATCCAATACAAACAAGAGTATTTTTTATTTATTTATGCATAACAGAATAACAAAAATGACAATACAAACAAGAGTACATATAACAGTTCAAGACAAAAAGATCGTCAGGGGTACATATTACAAGATACATTCAAGTTATGAAAAAAGATTAAACAAATTAAATAAAAATAATGTCCGCACCGCTTTCATATTTTTGCACTTTGAAATGTTGTGCAAATACCCTCTTACATCCATTTTACAATGCTCAAACAAAGGGTTCTTCCCAGACCACTTCATTTTATGTATATACTGTAATAACGTGCCATTATAATAATTAAATTTATTACAAACGATGTTTTAATATTGTTTTCGAAGGGGACAAACAAGAGTACACATAACATGTCAAAAGACATCATCAGGGGTACATATTACAATATTCATATTATGAAAACAGATTAAACAAAGACAAAGTCCACACCTGCTTTCGTATTTTTGCATTTTGAAATACTCTGCAAATAGGCCTTTACGTCTATTTTAAACTGTTCAAACGTAGGACTCCATTTCACTTTGTGTATAGAATAACATGCCAGTATAATAATGAAGTTAATTACAAACTATATTTTTGTATAATTTCCAATGGGATTGAAATTTAACATAACATATATTTATTTAAAACTAATATCAATAGGTTCCTCTTTTTAAATAAAAGTTTTCAAATCAATCCAAAAGGTTTTTACCAAAGGACATAACCAAAATAAATGTTAAATAGTTTCAGGGCTACTTTCACATAAAACACAGCTATCATCTATATTAACTTTAAAGTACTGCACAACAAGGGTCTCTATTGGGTAAATATGATTGATTATTTTACATGAAACCTCCTTAACCTTATTAGTTATATTATTACATATCGTCCTATTTTTCCCCCAATTAAACCATTTTCCAAATAAGGAATTGCAATATACTCTAACTGAGTCCCAGTAGTAAGAAGCAGGGGAAGCAGGAGGCTGCCAGTCGCTCGCCTTTTGCCATCTGGCTCAGATCCCTCTCAGTGGCAGCACCCTCCACGACCAGCTGGCCATGTTCAGCCACCAGCGGTTTAAAGCCCTGACTGCCAAGATACAGCACAGCCTGCTGGGATGCAAGATACTTGCCACCATTGTCATGAAGAAGGGAGCCAGCCTGGGGACTGTGGTCATCCTGGGCACCGGTGAGTGAGAGGGAGGGACACAACAGATGATGAACAAGTACAAAAACTGTCTTACACCTTGAACCCACTGCAATTTGCATACCGACAGAACAGACCAACTGAGGACACATTACCCTCTCACACCTACATAAGAAAAGAACGTTTATGAGAATGCTGTTTGTTGTTCAACACCATTGTACTCTCAAGGCTCTTCACCAAGCTCCAGGACATAAGCTCCCTTCTCTGCAACTGGATCCTGGATTTTCTGACGCGACGTCCGCAGGTGGTAAGGGCAGGCACCAATTCATTCTACACCCTGACTCTGAACATCGGCGCCCCCCAAGGCTGTGTGCTCAGCGCTCTCCTCTACTCCTTATTCACCCACGATTGTGCGGTCAAAAGCAAAACAAACTCCATCATTAAGTTTGCCAACGACACAACGGTCATTGGCTTGATCACGAATGGTGACGAGACAGCGTACAGGGGGAGGTTGCCCAGGCTGCATGGTGCCAGGACAACAACCTCTTTCTGAAAACCAATAAGACTAAGGAGTTGATCGTGGACTACAGAACACATCAGAGAGCAGAACACACACCCATTTACATCAGCGGGTCTGCAGTGGAGAGAGTCAGCAGTTTTAAGTTCCAAGGTGTTAACATCAAAGAAGACCTAACCTGGTCCCACCACACCAACCACATAGCCAAGACAGCACGGAAATCCCTATTCTTTTTTCACAGCCGTAAGAAGTTCGGCATGCTGTCACATATCCTGACCAACTTCTATAGGTGCACCACTGAAAGCATCCTAACTGACTGTATTACTGCCTGGTATGGGAGCTGCTCTGCCTTAGAGCGCAAAGTACTGCAGGGGGTGGTGAAATCAGCACAGCTCATCACTGGCTGCGTGCTACTGGACATCGAGGCAATCTATTCTGTTAGATGCCTCAAGAAGGCCAGGTTTATTCTCAAGGACCCCAGGCGCCCAAACCACAATCTGTTTTCTTTACTACCGTCTGGAAAATGATACCGCAGCATACAAAGACCAACAGATTTCAAAACAGCTTTTTTCCTCAGGCAATAAGACTGCTGAACAGCCAATCACAGCAGCCACTAGCAATTACACAAACGACCACTGACAGTCACTCCACTTTAAACTGATAAGGTGCACCCACATCTTTCCTGATACTTCACATTCTCAGGATATAAATGACAGTGCTAAATAACTCCTATTCCTACCATATCTCTTTGCGTTATTTATTGTGTAAATCTTGTCAATTGTAATTTATTGTATTCTTCTCTGTAACCTTAATTCTGTCAACTTCCGTCTTCCTCTCCTTGGCAAGTTTGTGGGAAAAGCATTTCACTGCCAACAACTACCGTTGCATGCTGTATTGTTGTGCATTGATAAATAAGCCTTGATTGATTATGGAGTGTTAACTTGAGGATACACAGGAGCTAGACTGACTAGCTACACTGACTAGCTAGACTAGCAGTGGCTCTCAAACTGTGTTCTGTGGTCCGTGCTTTTATAAGTCTTTTCCTCTGTATCTGGTCTTCCTTTATATATTAAAAAAGTGAACTGATGGCTGGTGGAAAGTGTCTCTTCCATAAGTAATATCCCTATAAAAGATTTGATTAAATATCTTGGTTTATCTTGGAATATCTTAAGATTTTCAAAAATCCAAAAAAAGAGATGTGATTTTTAAATTCTCTACCATAGTACAATAAAAAACAACTTTATTCATGGTTGTTATTTGTCGAATACAGGCAGAAGGAGGCCTAAATGCTTCAAGTTGTAGAGCATCTAATACTATCTTAAAGATAAAACTGATGCAGAATTATTTACAAAATTAAGAAAAGTAGGTGGTATATATTTCTCCTAATTTAATCTTTCAGGAAGTACAGGGTAAAGAGTTTTTACTTGAATGCAATTTGGATGCAGGGAAACTTCTCCTGAAACTTAACAGCTTCCATGAAGAAGTTCTCCTCACGTGGTCTCTTATGGATAAACATACCCCCCCCATAGAGAGACCATTTAGAATGAAAGAGAAATACAGTAACTTTTATAAATAAACCCGTGCTTTGAAAACTGGGTTTAAAATAGTATAAGCATGGTCAACAAATTAACTGGTGTGGATGATGAAATGTAGAATCAAGCAGATTTTATGAATAGATATAATGTTTGTGATAAGTCTGATAACAATCCGTCGTAACCAGAGCTACTCCTAGAGAGGTATTGATGCTTTTAAGAAACTAAAAGTAGCCCATCAGAAACTATGGAAGAATTTACAACCTTTATTAGACTACAAGGAAAACAATTTAGTTATACTTGTACTAATAAATACTTCAGATCCCTCTTGCAATCTCACAATATCTTGTCAAACTATTTTGGAGCACCTCTTTGGGGAAAGTGAGTGGAATCAAACATGATTTTGTATGAATAATAAGGTTAAGGCGTCATTACAAAATTGTACATTGAATCGACCCGGTAAAGATACATAGTGTGCATAGATTTAAAAGTAATATAGATGATCATTGTCTTTCTCAAAGCAGCCCAGAAACCTTACGTTTGTTTTTGTTTTGTTCTGTTGTTAAAACACTCTGAACAGATCGGCAAAATGGTGTAAAGAAGGCTTCTATTTCTGACATTTCCTGTAGATTAATTGATGTTATTTTACTGCTCAATACTGCTGAACCGAATCTAAAATAGAATGTATCATTGGCTTAATCATTATACTTGCTCGTTATTAGATGTAGAAATAGCCTAAAGATGAGAAATAATCGAAAATTGAATAATTAGACCGTATGTCGTAGTAGCAGATTGTACTTCTCGCCTACTTGATGTGGTCGAGCAACACCTCAATCGCCATACAATCCGTCCGTTCTCATGCTCTGACTTTCAGGTTGGGCAGTGGACTGGATTCCAGGGCAAACTCGTTCTTGTTTGATTATCCGTGTGAAATCTCGCCCAAAGACCGGTACTTGTATTTGTATTGTATTCTTTGTTCTTGTTAATGCTTACTTTAAAAAATGTAAAAAAACAATTCAAAAAGGGACGCGTTGTTCTGACTTCCAGCTGCTTCCGCGTAGAGCCGGCATCCCCCATTGACCCCAGCGCCGTGATCTTTTCATAAAACGTTTTCATTTTTTTTTCATAATTTCTACTTAAGCTTTTGGAGAAGAGTATAGAGTGTCGGCGGGAGAAAACCCGGAGTGGTTCAGCCTTCCACCCGACCCGGACTTCCGGCTACGGAAAACCCGGAGTGGATCGGCCTTTCCATCGGACCCGGACTTCCGGCTACGGAAAACCCGGAGTGGATCGGCC